TTTTTAATCTTAGTTAGCTTACCGCATAGGTTTTTGTCCTTTTTATTGTATTTTAGATTTTAATGTATTTGAAAGGTTTAACATTTATTTTCTCAGAGGACCCTCCTGAAAACCACCTTATCGTGATTGGAGGCCTCCTCTTAAAATATTATGCATTATTATTTTATTATTATTATTATTATTATTATTATTATTAGATTGGAATATGGCAGGAAGTCTGTTTCCAGCTTTCAATTTCGTATTAAATTCAGAATGAAATTCAGCTTAGGTGCAGAAATTAAAAATAAGACGTAAATTTCATGCAGTTACTTCTGTTATATAGTTAAATCTTAGTGGACTAGTTTTTGATAACCTTTTTCTAGTTTTTACTGATTTTAAGAATATTAATTTTCAAAAGAATAAAAATCTGACCTTGCCATGCGCAAGCTGTCAAAATATTCTGCATTTGTTTGATTTGAGTATCTTTTAAAATTTCGTACAGTCTGGTCGACTTGCCGTGGAGATTACTTGCTGACAAAACCGTCTTTGTAGTAAATTCACGCAAAAGAAAAAAAAGAGCCGGAGCTTGTCATGCGCAAGTTTTCAAAACATTCCGCCATTTGTTTGGGTTATGGTTGGGGTTGCTGTTTGATCTGAGTAACTTATTTCGTACAGTGTGGTCGACTTGCTGAAGAGATTACTTTCTGAAAATTACCGTGCTTGCAGTAAATTCACGCCTTTTTCAAGGGAGTTGTGCCGCCCAGACCTCGTTAAGTATTTGACGAAACGAAATTTTACGATTTATATTGCTAACATCTTGCGAACGGCGTATCAGAAAGACTAGACGAAAGCGTGGAAGTCCTTGTCTAGTTCTACTTAAAAATGAAATAATCTACGTACCTACCTCTCTCGTCTATGTCAAGGCAAACTCGTTGCGTGATTGCTCTTTCTTTTTTTCACCACCTAGCCGCTAAAATAAATCGTTGTAAGACTTATCTCGTGGCATAGAAAGGATAAGAAGAAAGCGAAAAGTCCAATGGGATAAACATCCCTGTGAAACTCCTAAAACAAATTTGATTACAATCGGAAGCAGCGGCGAGCAATTGATAAAAAAAAAATCAAACGGACTATTTCCAATCGTCTGATCTGATAATAAATTGATTCTGTCAAAAGATTGATCAAAGGCAAAGATTTCCCTCGCAGAACATTATTACGCTGTCTAACAGACAGGCGGACAAGCCTATGAATACATATTCACACAAATGATTAAAATACAAAAGTCTTAAGCGGACCGCCACTGTCTCTCAAAACTAACATTGTCAAACAAATTGTTTTTTTGTACAGTGTTTTGGAAGATTAAAACAGTGCACGGAAACTTATTTTTGAGAGCTTACAGTCCATCTTCGCTGTTAGTATTGAAAATTATAGACCACTCAGGATTGACCAATCAGAGTTCAGCAATTGTCTGTTCATGTATAATGCTTCACCACTAATTCAGAAATATTACAGAATTTCAGTTGAATCTTAAAACACAGGCTGCCTGCGGGCTAAGAAATAAAAATAGCCCGTAACAAAAGCGAAAAATTATGTGTCTGAACTAAATAAATTAAACCGTTTGGTGAGCTGGAATAAACAGTGATTTATTTATTAATACCTACATAACGTATATTCCTTGCGTACTGTTGTTTAATAATACAGGCTGTCTCGATTCAAGGCCGGATCAACGGCTCATGAAACTCTCTTTCGTATTTACCAAACAGTGATTTATTTACTACAACTTAGAAAGTGGAGTCATCTTTTTTTTAGGGCACGGTCGCTTTTCAAAACAGTACACGACTCTGTCTTAACCAAGGTTGAACTGAAGAATATAAATCAGAAAATGTTTTCCTAAAAGATGAAATATCAAATACGTTTATCAGGATAAATCTAGTCGATGTTAAGTGTGAAGTCCTAAGAGAAATACTGAGAAACCAAATAAATATAAAGTGCCAAAGGAAATAGCTGCTTAAGAATTGAATTTAACCTTATTTAAATAAAAAAACCCCGTCTGTCCCCCGCGCGACATATCTTATCTCTACGTTTGTAGCTTTTTCTAGTTTTTACCACGATGTCAACTTTGTTTTCCAAATTGAAAAATATTCAGCAAACACGTTTTCTTTGGTTGGGAAGAAAACCACCAAAATCAATCATAAATCGACTAAAATATCCATTAAAAAGTCATAATTTGAAAATCGCAAGCCTCCTTGAAAGCGTCGACTAATTGGTTTTCTGTCAATCAGTGAAAGATCAAAAAGATACCGCCACTTCTGTGCTTTCCGATTGCGTCTCACACAGGTGAAAAGCAAACAAGCTTTTATCCGATATAGTTTGCTAAGAAGTATCTTCAAATGGCGGATTATTTGACGATTTTCCCCCTATATTGGTCTGAGGGTGTGTTTGATTACAAATATAATTGAATATCGAAAATTGGATTTTTTCGTCTCGTGCACGTCTCTCACTCTCTGCCCTTGAGACGGTAACTGTCCTTGACCGTGACCGCGAGCTTCCGAAAGATGAATAGAAGAAACAGTAATGACGAGTTAAGAATAGAGCGCGGGTTTGCTAATGGCCTCAAACAAAAGCTCGAAGACGCTGCTGATAAAAAAGTTGATAAAATTTGCATTTCAAGGTTATGCTTGTGCTGTTTCGTGACTGCTAGTCTGAAAACATTAAACCCTCTTTTCGGCGTTTAATTAAAATTGGTCCGCCGCAATTTTTTCCAATCTAAACCACCCCATTAAGTTTTAGTTTGTTCGTTTGTTCTTTCGGTGTGTTTCTTCCCGATTGGTATTCCACGCGTTCGTGTGGACACTGCACGTTTTTTTGGTGCTGCGCCATATTCATTGTCGTTGCTTTTTCTAAGCCATGTAAATAGTGCAAAACAATTGAAAATCGCAAAATCGCAAAATCCCAAAATCCCAAAATCTGAAATTATGCGGCAGATCTGAGATCTTCCACAATTTACTTAACATGCGGACATCGCCAACTTATACCTGCATGACAGTGACCAACTCGAAAGCTCATTGGCTACTTTGGTCACTGTACACAACTAAATATCTCATTGTAAACCATCTTATGTTAAGTTGTTTTCTGTAAATAGTGTGCAATAATAAACTTGAATAATAAACTTGAACTTGAAACTTGGCTCAGTGTGTAGAAAAGCTACATAGCACTATATTTAATTAACATATACATTTCGCCAAGCCTGAAAGAGGAGCTCCTGATTACAATAAATTAACCTAGTCGAGCCTGCGATCCAATCAAAAACCAGTATCTGGGTAACGGTCAACTTCAAAAAACAATAGACAACCGCAATGAGCTCTCAAGTTCAGCCCGCTATATGATCACGTGATACTGGCCAGCGAATACCTTGTTTTGACAGGTGTTAATTGATCATAACATCCAATATCAAAGATGTCTCTGTCAACCAATTAGCTGGAGTATGGCGGTGTCATCTGGCGCCTTATGTTTCGTGTCTTTTACTTTTTAATTCTTCATAGTAGAAGACTATTACTATTATTATTATTATTATTATTATTATTACTATTATCATTATTATATTACATAGCAATATTTATTTACTAAAAGATTGCGGGATACATTTGTTTTCTGTCTCGAAGATTGAAACTGATTTCTCCTTCCTGTTTTTCAGGCAATCTTTCAATGCTAGTAAAAATTTGATGACAAATCTCGTAGGTATTTTACTTTCTATATTCTCATCACCTGAATGGTTGACAATTTATTGATTTTGTCGGGAGAAGTCATATGTTAATCACCCTTGGACAAACTGCAGAAACGTCGCTCGCAAAATAACGCTCATGAGCGATAGTCCGTATGTCCTTAAATGTACAATGTTGTTGCTGATTCCCCTCTCCGAATTAAGTACTAGAAACGGGATCAATTTTGACAATAGTGCAATTATGTAGTTAAATGATATTTGAGGCACATCCCACTAAAAAGTCTTATGTGGACCTACGTCCGTATGAAAAGTATGAATATAAACAACCGTCTCTTTATCGCTTCCAGTTAAACGACTTTTTACTAATCGGTCAAATACTAACTTTGGTTATCTCAATCTAATCGTGATTAACGTTCCGTTGCTTGTGTTGTCGATGAAGTTCACACGTCCGAGATCATAAAAGAGTCCTCGGCTTTGCGGTTATTTTCCGAAGCCTGTCCATTCCTGGACGACCGTTGCCAGTTACTCCTGTAGGATGGAGACCTCACAAGTGAAGTGCCTGCCCTCACCAGTGGAATCTGAAGCTTATGTTCCTTGCAAAGAAGCTTGTAACCAATGTAACGAAAAGTGTTTATCATGTCTCGGTTCCTGTAGGCATACACGAAGGGGTTAAGTGCACTGTTGCTATAGTGACAGAACTTGACAAACTTCAGGAGACGGTCTATCCCCAGCGGGGAGGGGAGTTGCTGCGGGTAGTAGGTTGCCAGGACACTGACCACGAACAGAGGTAACCAAGCTATGACAAACAGCACCGTGATCAGGGCAACAGTGGCGGACAATCTGATTTCGTTCTTGTAAGCTTTCTTGGGCATGCGGTGTCGAGTAAGCATGCTCGTTGGTTTTGATCGAGCAAATAAGTAAATGGTGACGTAGGCAACGAGAATGATTAAAAAAGGAATGAAAAAGCACGTGGTGGTCATGAGGAGAGTGTAAACCGCGGTCCAGCGTTCGAATTGCACGGGTTGTAAGCTCGCCATAAGGGCCGCGTACATCCACGGTATTGCAATCATGGCGTAAAAGACTCTCATAGGGAGTGTTCTGTGACGTAACGGCCTGACGATTGCGTGACAGCGTTCGATACTGATCGAAGTCAGTTGCAAAATGGAAGCGCTTCCGATAAAGATATCGAATGTGATGTAGAACTGATATCCTGCTTTGGTATAAGGACGCTCCATGTACTGACACAGAAAGATGTAAATCCAACAAGGAATGGAAACCAACCCCACCAGCGTGTCACTCAGGGAGAGGCTGACAATGAATGTGTTAGTCACGGTCCTCAACTTCCGGTTGATTGCAAAGGAAGTCAGAATGAGTCCATTTCCGGTGATGATTGTTACCACAAGTAAGCAATACAACACTGTTATGATAACAAGCTCGGCCACTTTCATTTTTGCAGTCGCCACTGGGGTTGTGTTTGTACTCCCAGTACCGTTCTGTCCTTCCATTTCAAATTAGCTCTGTTGTCGACGTTTCTTTTCTTGTGCTGTTTTGATGGCTACAACGCTTGCCCAATTCTAAAGAAATAACGGGGAAAAGATTAGGATGAAATTGAACCTAGTTGTGAGCCCAGGGTCGGGGATGCTCGTCGAAAAATTTGAATTAAACGCCTAAAGGAGACCAAAATCTGGGTGTGGTTCGAGCTTTATTTGACCCATAAAAGATACCACTTGAAACGGAATAAGCTTGATTACCAGCCGCTTCTCAGAAACAGAGCCCGCACTAATAAAGAGGACTCGAGAGACCGGCGGATATCGAGGCTAAAGTGCGGAAACAAAACAGTATTTTTACTATACTAAGTTTGCTAGTCGTTAAGATTTTCTGGAAGGCTTGTAGCTTATTCCGACCACCTTAATTTTTTATCTTTTTGAGTTCGCTTAATCCTCTCACTGAGTTATAATTACAATAGTTAGATCTGTATTGAAATCATGTCGAGTATATTAAGCTGGGTAGGGTTCTTGTTAATTTTATTATTCACGTAGGCTTATTAACATGATGGCGAAGAGAACTTATGATTCCTCTTTGTATTTTCCTTCTTTTTGGTTGTCTTGAGACACTACTAGATCGCCTGCAGATAAATTGGCCAAAGAATAATATTTTCCGCGTGTGCGGTGCTGTTTCCAGTCATTAAGCAATATTCTGCTTGTGTCTACACGGTCTCCTTACGAGCTAGGCTTTTTATTTTATTACAGGCGGCCCAGACGTTGAATACAATTAATACGTGACATTATTCTGTTGGCGATTGCGTTGACAATTTCAGCCGTTTATAAGACAACGTATGAGAATGCTTCGAAAATTACTCTAAATGCTACGTGTAGAAAACAATTTGAATAAAATGGCTTACCTTGTGTTTGCATNGGTAAAATATGTACAAACCTGTGCCTGTACATGTACATATACTTTTGCACCCTCACTTTCAGTTAATATATTATCAAAAAATGTGACTGATTTGTTTTCAGGTGGATGAGGACAATAGCTATGCAGTGTTTGTGTCTTACTTTGAAATTTACAACAACTATATTTATGATCTGCTTGATGAGACTCCTGTTGATCCCATCTGTCCAAAGTAAGTTCACCATGTACATCAATTGGATGATTTTAAGTTTTTAACATGACATGAAACTACATTGTATCCCCCCTGCATAACTAACATCATATACAGATCTATTGTAAACATGTACATAGCTGAGAAAGGTGTCCCTAAGATACATTTACTACTTACTGTACAGGTCTATGTACATGTTCACAGTCTGTACCTGTTAGCAGATTCTCTTGCAAATAATGCACTCTTCTACCACAGGCGGTCCAGACGTTGTATACGATTAATACGTGACATTATTCTGTTGGCGATTGCATTACAATTTTAGCCGTTTATAAGACAACGTATGAGAATGCTTCAAAAATTACTCTAAATGCTACGTGTAGAAAATAATTTGAATAAAATGGCTTACCTTGTGTTTGCATTGCGTTATTTTGATGTCTCTGGGTTCCTGGAGGTGGTTTAGAGCCATTCAGGCGAGTTTTACTTTCTGGCGGTTTGCTTCCCCTAAAGAGAAACGAAAGGTGGGCAACCCACTGGCCCGACGGCACGTACTCAAAGCTCCATAAATTCCACAAAAATGGTCTAATCTCATCAAAATTGCCTCATGGCAGCCCTCGATAACTCTTCTTCCCATTCGCTTTCTCCCAAGGTTCCAAAGTTTATCTTAATCGCCCGAGAATCGCTGGTTTNTTTTGATGTCTCTGGGTTCCTGGAGGTGGTTTAGAGCCATTTAGGCGAGTTTTACTTTCTGGCGGTTTGCTTCCCCTAAAGAGAAACGAAAGTTTCTCTCACTTCTGTTGCATTATTTTTGAGCAGTTGAACTCGGCGTATAATCATGAGAAAACTCGTTATACTAAAGTACGGTAAGAGTCCAAAAGAGTTTTTCTTTTGGGAACCTAATCATGATAAGTTAACATGGACAGTATTGTTCATTATAACCCACGCTTAATTTTCGCGCAATTCTATTGGCTACTTTACGTCACGTGGTGAAAAATTATTGGGCAGTTATCACGTAATAACCTCCGCCTGCGTCGATGATTGCCCTGCGACTGTTTCTGTCGGAAAAAAAAAACAAAGTTAAAAACAATAAATCCCACTCTAGAATTTCACCTCTTCATCTTAATTATTTTTCATGGAAGAAAAACAGACCCTTTTCGTGGAATCCGCTGATAATGACATTAAAAAAAACTGGTCGCCAATGCTGTTCCGATAAGTACAAAAAAGTCAAAAAAATATGCAGAAAATTATGGGAGGGTTATAAAAAAAATAAACCCCTTTCTGGCTCGCTGGTATGTTGGATGATAATGTCCTTGGCTGAGAGATTGTCCTCAAAATTTCACATTTGTCCTCGAAGCTTCGCTTCTCGGCCAAATATTCATTTTTCGGACAATATCAGCCGACATATCAGGCGCCAGAAGGGGTTTATTTACTAAATAAGGGGATACAGTTTAGGTATAGCAACTGAACAGCCCCTTAAAAGGGAGCTTCAGTAAAAATGTATGTATAAAACGTATGTATGCGGTTAGCGCAACTTTAGTTTAGAGGCGCAGTTGATCTTTGTCATCAACATAAAGAGGGCCGCGCCCCTTGTCCGAAAATTGGATATCATGCTTCGAAAAAGCACTTTGCAAAAATCTTGTACGCATTGAACGTACAGCAAATAAATTTTCAAAGGTCTCGTGAAGAAATCTTTATTTATGCCAGTAGTTACAGAGTTTCCAGAACCCCCAAATTGAATAACTTGGCTACAAAAGCGATCTAGTAGTTTCCTTTATCGTTGCACGGTTTGGTTGATACATGTAACCCAACACCTTTTTAAACTAACTTCTATTTTACTTGACAGCATCTCCGCTTAGCTTAGTTATTCGTTAAAGTTTGTTTCTATCGCACCATCACCCAGATTGGCTTGTTCTCATAACAGTAGCCGGCGATACACTTGGTGCCTCGCGAGACGGCACTGTCAGAAGCCACGTAGTTGTCTGAAGTTTCAGCATTATGCCACATGTCAATCCACTTGTCTGTGCCACCGTGCGATTCCGAAATTCCAGCGTTATTAAAGAAGTGGAATGCATTTATTGTGGCAAAACCCGACGGGGGAAATCTCTGATCTGCTGGACTGTACCTGTAAAACCCATGCAGGTTCCTAATCAAGCCAGCATTTGTCCCCTTTAAGAAATCTTCGAACTCAGCTTTAGACGCTGATGGCGAGCCTGCAGCCCGGTCGTAAACAAGCCCGATGTTGTTGTCGTCAGCAAACCGGAACAAAACTTGTTTCCAGTCCGCCATGTTGGGGTGGATATGACTGGCGGCGTCTGCGTGGGTGGATTTCGCAGCCGCTTCTGAGAATGTGGTACTGATGAAGAGGAAGCTTGGGGTGACCTTCGTGGCGAATAGGGTCCAGCCCCCACCCTCAGTTTCCATGTCGCAGTAGGCTTGGAATGAGTCATCTGTTGAGCCACCGTTTGGATCGATCCAGTAGAGTCCATCACCACGACTCTGACCTGAAGGTACAAAGAAAATTAACTCATTCCTCCTCTAAATATCTACCCACCAGTGAAAAAGCGAATGAACAAGATTATTGCTGGTTGCTTTGTCACGCTACGAAAAACTAGTAAAATCGAAATCATTGAACAAAAAGAAGCCAGGAATTTGAAATTTTACAGAAAGTCAAAGGATAATCAACTTTTCCGGGTCCCAGGTATATGACAAATTCCGTGCTCAAGTTATCCTTTGAGAAGGTTACCCCAGATTTGTAGAACTCCCAATGGAAAGCGCACATTTGTGTCCAGCGAAGCATAGGTGATCTGACTCAAGCTCGCAAATAACCGTCTCTGGTGCACCCATTAGTACGGATAGCGCCCAGGTTACGTAACAGTTGAAATATCAGGATTTGTGTGTGAAAAACGGTTATGTTCTTAATTAAGCTTAAAAAGCGAAAGAGAATGAATAAAAAATAAACCTATCTTGCTTCAGGTGTGTGTTTCATTAGTTTTCGTGAGGTTTCTCGGCCAGTCTGTGGTAATTTAGTTGGTTTTTAGTTTAAATCACTCCTTAGAAAGGATACATACAGGACAAATCCGTGAAGCAAAATACCATCTTAATTGCCATTAATCGGCCTAGAAACCTCACAGGAACCTAGGAAACATACAGCTGAAGCGAGGTAGGGTTGTCATTATTCATGCTCCCTCGTATTTTTTAGGCTTAAGAATATAACCATTTTTCCCAAACCATGAATCCTTATATTTCGACTGTTGCGTAACCTGAGTACTGTTGTATGTAATTTATTTAGTATGTAGCTCATTTGCGAGCTTGGGCCACCCAAAGCGGCACAGTTATGGCAGCATGGCAGCCAGACATCGATGTCGAAACAGCTGGAATTTACTTCAATAACCGTCCCCCTTACGAATCAAGACTCTCACATAAACATTTTTTTCGAATTCGTTAAGTGTTCAAACCGCGTTAAAAATCTCAGAACAAGTCAATCTTTTCAAGCTACATGACAACTTACTCGTGGCCATCTTGCTGTTTTTTCTTGGTGTCGTGTTATATGAAATTCGGTATCAAATAGATTCCATGTTGCCGAATGGTGAGACCAAATAAGTTAGCTAAAGTTGCACACGAGGCAATATATAGTCGTGGGTCACTGACGTTCTTACCACTTTTTGACGTCTTTTGTGATCAATTGCTGAACAGACGCACGGCAACATGGAATCTACTTGTTAATGACGTCATCTATGCGTCTGTCCTCCAGTTGACCATTAGCAGGAGCCAATCAAAATGCGAGAACAATTCGACACATTATATAAACTTGGATTACAAAGATGATCTATTTTCAAAACCGAAGGATGCTATCGAGCTGAAGACTTGCAAGAAAATATATTTCTTGGAGGTCTCATAGCCCATAAATTTAAAATCTCAGGAAGCCTTTTAATTAGTTTTCTTATTTTATAATTTTTATGACGTCACGTGAAAACATTGTGTACATGGGCGTGATTAACAATACGTAAAACTCACCCGCATTTAAAATATGCAAGCAGCTACGTCCTGGCTGATCGGGCGTTTGACCCAACCCAGCAGTCACCAATGGCGACCAAGAGCTGCCATCGCAGAGCTCCAAGGCATTCTCGGAAGTACTGTAACGAACGGTGCCAGCAATACTCGGTGTACATTCCTCAGCGGTGTCTCCAAACTTAATTGCACCACTTGGGGGTGGTGATGGTGGTTTACACTAAAAAAAGATAAACGACAAACAAATAAAATATGGAATACCGTAAACTACCACTTATAAGTTACCCCCCCCCCGCCCCCCGCACTTGTTACGAGCCCATCTACCAGTAAACCAAAAAATACATCGGCTATAAGCCCCCCGGATATAACCCCTCCTCGCTCCAGCTTTCCTTGTTTTGAATTCGTTTTAATATGGTGTTTTAAAGCTTTTCGATCAAAACAGCTATAGCTAGTTTTGAAACGGTTTTTATTCCGATTATAAGCCCCCTCGGATAAGCCCTTCGTTTATAAGCCCATCTAAAAGCCCTTGAAAAGTTTTATAAGGTTACGGTACATGGCACATCTTTTGTGTCACCACTTGTATTATTTTACTGAATCTCATTGAATATTCAGAGATCAAGGGGAAGAAGCCATTCAAGCTGATGACCCATCAATCTTTCCTTCGTACACTGATTCTGTTACGTTCGTAGAAACTCTGTTTTCTATAAGCTGTGTCAAGAACGTGCGCCATAAAAAAGCGCAAGTATCCGACGAGCTACAATCGGCAAAGTGAAAGAGTTAGGGGATTTTGTTCACTGAACTCCACCCAATTTATCTCATGAAATTTATTTACGTCTTTGTCGAAACTAACTAAGAAGACAATGATTTTTCACCAACCTCAGCTGCATCACGTCCGTCACGGCCTAATATCAAGGAAAAACAGGAATAAATTTGCTGTTTATGTGATGTTATAACCATGACAACATGTCAGCAAACAGCCGGGCCAAATCGTCTTGGACGGATTTGATCGTTTTTTGCCCATTTATATTACCAGACAGTCGAGTGGGAAAAAAAATCCTAACTTCTTTTTCAAGTACTTTTGGGAGATTTGATCTTGATCAAATACTTGAAATACAGAGCCCATAACATATGTATTCCAAACTGCACAACCAGGGACGGGTTGCTCGAAAGCCGGTTAACGCTAACCCAGGATTAAAAGTTAACCGAACTATTAATTTTTCTTGTATAAAATTGCTTTTTACTGCTTAAGTTTTGTGTAGTTTGAGCTTAGTCAAGCTCAAAACTGATTGACAAACAGTATAAACAGAAAACTTCACCGAAAAGTTACAAAACTGAGATCAAAATTCTTGCTAATCCTGGGTTAGCTTAATCAGGCTTTGAACAACCCCTGCTCAACTGGGCCATAACATGAAAAACAATTGTGACTGCCGCAATGTTCATGTTTAGATTCTCTTCCCAGGTATTCAGTGTGTTACTTTCTCCCTTCAAAAAACAAAACCAACAAAAACGAAGCAAATGAATCAGGCGAGGGCCTCGGTCTGCCTGAACTGGAGTTTCTGAACTTGTTTTTGCGGCGCTGAGCTACAACTAGTCAACGAAAAATTAAAAACTCGTTGTTAAATAGCTACTTCTCTTACCAGGCTTACCATCTCTGCCGTCTCTACCTGAAACGAAGAAGGAAAAATTGCTGTTAGTCCGAAAACAGAGGCAGAAAACCGAATAATGCAAGGGATCGTAAAAGCATCATTTGTTTTTCTCACCGTCGCGGCATTTGCACGTGGATGCCGGGCAGCTTCCACCATCCGCGGAATACAGCACGGTTGCAAAAGAACTCAGGAAGAAGGCCAGACCTAAGGCGAAAAGCAAGCGAAACATTTTGACTCTTTCTCTACTCCAAGGTTTTCGCTAAAATGAGAGAGATCAATCTGTTGTATGACTTTTAACCACGAATGAAACAGGAAAAAACAATTCAACCATGGAGACCATTATTTAATTTGTGTTAAAGGAGCATTTGTACATGAAATAATTGATGCTAACCACAGGGTTTTTATTGTTCTGCCGTCTTAACTGTTGACTTCAAATTTACCTTGTTCATCAATTCTACTCTTTGAGCACTTGTTAACACACAGACAAACGATAAAGCAAACAGAAATACGTAAGAACAAAACAGAATGAGATAAAAAGAACGAAACAAAGACTCAATCAGTCTGTTGTATGTTTTCTGTGACGCCGACTGAAACAGGAAAAACAATTCAACCTTTAAAACCATTATTTAATTTGCGTTGAAGCGTTAAGGTAAATTGTATTGACTCTAATCCTTTTTGTTTCTATGGACTGTCTGAATGGTTGCCATATTCGATCCGTAAATCCGTGCTCTCTTAATGCTTGCAAACAACAGCAACCGTTGAAATAGATTTAAATAAAAAGAACAGAACTAGTTCATGTGTTAAAAAGAATCAAGCACCTCCTTTTATTATCAGGCTTTGGATTCAAAGAGAGAACTTGTGCAATTTTTCCTGTCATTTTACTCCATACTGAAATAGGAAAATGTGAAGTTAGCCCGGAGTGATCATTAATTGTGACGTAAATTAGCTGGATGCCGAAACACTTCAGTTTATGAAAGTGAAGAATGATCATCGCAGTTAATTTTCCAATTTAAGCAATTGGAAAGAAGAAGCCTGAAAAAAATCAGGGCTTCAACGGGATTCGA